TGAACTGATTGCTTCTGCATTACTATGTTCCAAAAGATTGTTAGAGCTAGTAAACCTCACTTGCTCATAACCTTTTCTCCCCTCCCTATCTAGAGTTTGGAAGAAGAAAATAAATCTTTCTGCCTTCCTGGTTTCTAGTGAGTTTCATAACTTTAAGCTGAATGGTTACAGGGTGGAACTAATGAGACTCTATTCTTATTTCTTCAGAAAGCAATAAGAGATGGGAAAAAAGCTGGTTTAGCACTTCAGGAAACCATATTTCCAAGTGCTCGGTTAGGATATCTTCTCTGTTTTTCACTGTCGGCAACCTACATGTCCTGCTTGAGTGTTTGTTATGTAAATTATTTTATTGCATTACTACAAATGTAGGCACAAATATCAGATAACAGATTTTGAGTTGGTGCATTAAATTTAAGACTAGTAATTCAAGTTATTTTGTTTAACTTCTTTGAAATTAATTTGAATCACATTTTAATGTACAGAATGTTATTTGTCTGCTAAAAGAAAACACAAAGAAACATCTTAAGAGCGCTCTCTGTAGGGAAGCTTCATGGTTTGTCTTCTGGCTGTGTAGAAAGCTACGTTTATGATGCTGAGAAAACAGGTAGCACTAGGTAGCTGTGTAAGATCCAGATTTTTCTTCTGCAGATGCTTATGCTGTGCCATTGCCTGGCAGTAGGATTGACAACCTACCTGGGAACTCGGGACTGATTATTGAAAAACTGGACCCATGCATCTCCCTCTTCTGGAATCACTGTCTTTGTGGAGGTCAGGCCTAGAACCACCATAGACTTGTGGTTCTTTCGAAGTTCTCATCTCTTCCTCATGGTGTTTTTGCTGCTATTTCCTTCTTCCTCGTATCAGGGACGCTCTTTTCACTATAGAAAATGAGAGCAGTGGGCATGACGTGCAGAAGTAAAAGGGTATCCAGTTTGGCACTACGAATTTCTGATATTTCTGAAATAGTGATCCTTACTGATTTTTTTCCTCCTTGGCCAACTCTCATGTCTTCCTGGATCTGAAATCTGTCAAGCACAAACTTCTTGTGGGAGATGATGTTTTCAAATAAGGGAGTTGCCCTGTCTTTTTTCAATGTATATGATTTAGCAGGGTCCTGGTAGCTGAAGACACCACAGGGCACTTCTTTACTTCTTACACACACAAGCTGTTGATCAGGAAAAAATCCATAAAATGTGATGTGGAATCATTAGACTTTTTCTGTTCTTTGTCAAGTACTTCATAATAAACCAAATAAAACGCTACTATTCAACTTCAGATTACAGAATTTCAGGGATACTTTTGGTTTCCACATTCTCTTGTGTCCTGTGCATTGGCATTCTCTTGTGTCCTGTTCTTGTCTGTTAGTGGCAAATCTGATGAGATAACCTTGGCACAGAACCTATGGGGTATCAAGACCCGTAGTGCATACAAACATCCTTGCTGAGTCCTACGTCTGACCGTCTCAGGTCAGCTTACCAATTTGAGGGTATTATATTAACCAGTAAGTTGAACTGCTTGAATGTGTCTGTGTTGGATTTGTCAAATGTCTCAAGCTTGCAAGCCACTATGGCTTGCAGTGTGATCTTTTTGAGGAACTTTATGAAATAGGATGGAGAAGCTCATCTGAATCCCTTAGTGAGGTCATGATCCTGCTCTCTAAGCCGCTCAACTCGAGTATTGTGGAACTTCACTGTGTTTCTGCCACTTCTAAAAGGATCTTGAAATCAAATTCTAATAGACAGTACTTGTCACATATTAAATGGGTATAAAGTTAGGAAGCCGTTCTATTTTGGAGTTGGTTCAGGTGGCACAAAAGGTCCTTTCGACGTCTAAATGTATAAAATCATCTGAGCAGAGCATTAAAACATGACCGTAAACCTTTCATTAATTCTTCAGTGGGCTTTGCAAGTGCCTCCTCTTTTGTTTCTCAAGAGGTACAAGGCTGAACTCTCATCAGATGCCTTCTTGCCTTCATGTCTCTGTGACGTGGCATTGCCTTTCTGATGACTTTGAGACCTGGAGTCCGAGGATAACGGAGAGAGGTAGCCTTGTTACTAGTCCTGGAGTAGCCTGAGTGGTTCAATACCTGCATCTAGCTCACCTGTTGGTACAATTTCCATTCCCTTGAAACATCCAGAACATTGTTTCAGCCCCTGTTTTAGCCCCTGGACTAACTCTTGTATCTTGCCAACCTTTTAAGACTTCTGGGATACTTTTATATCCAGTCTTCAGTGTAGAAACCACTAGAATACAGTTTCTGAGTTTAGTGAAACTTTCAAGTCCATTCCTTACATTTTCTTGGATTTCCAGCTTAGCCAGTCTTTTGACCTTGATTTTTCTCCTGTACCTCCTGTCTTGTGCTGTCTACACAATATAAAGTCACCAAAATTAGGGCAGGCATAACAGGATGGTCCCACATTTTCTACTGATATCCAGCTGTTAAAACTGCTGAGCTAAGTAGGCAAATTGCTATCAAGTAATGGATCACTTGACTTGTCAAGTGGCTTCCTGACTGCCTCTCTTAAGAGATGCACAGAACTGCTGTTTGGGATTCAGTCTGCTTTTAATGGAGCTCCCTTCTTGGAGCTCTAAGATCTGTAGCCAAACTTGTGGAATTAGCCAGGCGCTATTCAGTTAAAAACCCTAGAGTACCCTTCCGTGGCTAGGTAACTGCATGCAACTGGAGGGTGAGTCACTTGGAAAAATACGTAAGGAAGAGCTGGCAATTACCTTTTACTGATTGAGGTTTATGAAGGTCCTGGTCTGCATCAGTCCAGATATTGCTTGCCTTCTTGCCTAAGAAATTTTCTTAATAGCTGGAGTGAAACGCTTGGGTCAACTGCTTGTTACAGTGGAGCTTGTGCGTTCAGTAGTGCGTAAGAATTGCGTAGTATTACGTTTATGCAGGGCAGGTGGGTCTTAAAGAACAGCACTGCTAGACTAAAGCCCTTTTTTGCTCATAATTAACTAAACTTGGGCACGCTTTCACAAGAAAAGAAAGATGCAACGTTGGCAAAGGTAGGAGTGTTAGAACTTCAAGTCTGTGCATCAGAATGTAGAGGTACTAATGCTATTTAATGAGAGGGGTGTATGTGTGTGAATGCTACTTTAAATTTAATTTCCATTATGCTCTTGAAAATGGCTGACCAATTCTAGACAGTGTCCAAATTATTTTTTACAAAAATTAGCTTTAAAAAACACTACCAAGTAGATAGTTTGACCAAAAATAACCAAAAAATCTTATTATGGAAAATGTTAGGCCACCTAACTTGTAAAGTGGAGCTGGTAGCTGAGCTCATAACTTTTTCTTCTCTGTTTCAATGGGAGAGAGGTAAATGAAGGAGAGAGGATGCATGAACATCAGTTGTGATGTGGTTGAATTTCTTTGCAGAGAAGAACAGAAATCGACGTTCTTAATTATAGGAATTAACTGGATTACGTTACAACACAAGTTTAGTGGAAATTGTGTATTGCACATGGGCAAAGAAGTGCATCAGGAGCTGTACTTCAGATGCTTGTCTTTATGTTGAGACCAACCTTTTACTAGAATTAAATATTTAAGGTAGGATTCATTTGCCTAAAATAAGTATTTAGTAGTGTTTTAAATTCCCTGTGGTACTGTATCTGATCTCCAACAGCTGCTCCAAAAAAAATGTAGATCCCCCCCATAGATCCTGTATCAGTTTGCTAGCTCTCTGCAAATCCCTTGGATACCTTAGGGCAGCTGAAGTGCTACTAAACTTATGTTTGGGCAGCTGGATCTTACCCCAGGTTTGAGCTTTCAAAGCATTCTTCTTTAGCTTAGAAAAATATGTGTTTTTCATCTTAACTGTTGAAAAGACACAAATATAGAAGTAATGTTAGGTATGAAGGGAACCTTTGAAAAAGCAGACAGCAGGTGAAAGGGATGAAATGGCAAATTGCATATGGTTATTAGAAAATACACCAACTAAAGCAAATATTACAGTTCCTAAATGATTTGAAGAAATTAGGGACACGGCCAACAATCATATTGTTAAGAGTTGTGAAATTAGTAAGTTCATCAGGGTCATGTATTTTTGTTTTTTATTGGTAAAAATGACCTGATTTCAAACTGGTTTTGTTCCTTGAACCTTATAAAGGTTCTTACAACTTGGAGCATTTCCTATATCGTCTTGATTTTCTGAAACTGGTCACAAGTTGTTGGTTTTCTTTCAGATTTCCTGGTTATTCATATGTGCTCAATATGACTGGAATAAAAAAAATAATAAAAGCAAGGTGGTGCTTTTTAGAATACAGCAGCAATTTTATGAACAATAAGATAGCAAACCATGCATTTTAATAGAGCTTAGTGGTATGTAGAACCATTGTTCTCTTTCCAAAATGCTCCCCTTGTTCAGTTACCAGCGTATGAATGCCTTTAATGTATTTACCCCTACAGTAACTCTGAGATAGGAAAATACCCAGGAATAAAGTGGGAACAAAGGCATCTGAGATACAGAAGCTTTGGTGTCCTGCCTGAAATCACAAAGGAAGCCTGTGGTGAAGAAGAGAATGAACGCCTGGTTTCTGGAAACTGGAGAAAGTTCCTTGTTCGTTCTTCTTTATCTTTTAACTTGTCTTTTCCTGCATCCACTGGAGTATTCAGTTAATACTTTATATTGTCAGCATTTGATTCCCCAACCAATGGATTTTTTTTTTTTTTCTTTTAGAAGTCTATTGAATATATGGGCATAATGAACCACTCTGGTTTTCCTCAGTAGTGAGACTTCTTCATGTCTAGTGTTGCATGGGAGAGAGCTTGGGTTTTGCCTTACTTGAATAAGCTGGGGCATAATGTAATCCTGGAAGTTGTGGGATATTTAACCATTGACTGGAAGCAGTATTCAGACCTGTAGGTGCAGCATGGAGATGTGAAAGACTACTTGATAAGCCTTCATGGAAATAGTAAATTCTATAGATTAAGCCCTCAGTACCTCAGCATAATTTACCAGGGTTTGTTTTTCTTTCTGGATTTACAGAGATATGAAAAATGCTGTAATTGGAAACAACAAACAAAAAGCCAACTTGATTGTTTTGGGAGCAGTTCCAAGGTATGTCCTTTGCTACTCTCCTTTTCACTGATTCAGAACAGGCCTGGAATAGTGATCCGTAGATCACAGGCCGTTTCTGTTTTATCTTTGACAATTGTAGTTTGCTGCTTACTTTCTTTAATGTAACTGAGAGACTTGAAATATCTGTTAAACTCATATATTACAGAACAGGCTGTTGAGTAATGCTTTTAATTTGGAATTTCATGAAATTCTTTAAAGTAGTCTTGGTGATTTGTATTAAACTTTATGAGCCCAGGAATGAATTCTATTTTCCAATATTACCAGTATTAATGATGGATGACAGTGGTTGTATCTTAATCCTCCAGCCAATTGCCTGGTGAGTTTACAAGTGCAAATGTGTAAGGTTATGTTAAAAGTTTAATTGGAAAACATTAATAAACATCTGAGATAATCTGCTTCTTTTCTCCACCTGCTTCAGAAGATAAAAATCATTGATCATACTTTGTTGCTGAAATATTGCTTCAGCTGATGTTAACATTTTCTGGATCCTGGTTCCACTAGTACAAATTTAACAGGTAACTATAGCTACTGGATTGCTCAGTAAAGCTTTCATTTCACCCCTCTTCTCCAGCTTTCCTTCAGCCACAATTTGCAGCAAGGGAGAAGGGAAAACATTGACCATTACTTGCATTAGCAGTATGGGACCTCACCATGATCCTTTTGCTTAAATAGCAACTTGGTCCCAAATTGTCCTGCCTGAGGGCAACTTCTACTGCCTTATCAAGAAATACATTTTGCTTGCAGGTCGTATCTTCTTTTCATTGGCAAATTGAGCTCTGTGTCAAGGCTAATCACCTAAATTCTCTAGGGATTAGCTGGGGAGAGGGGAACCCTCCAAAATATGATGGATTATCTTCTGTTCTGACCAAACGTAAGCAGGACAAAGAAAAGACCTCAGTTAAGACTGAAAGATTGAAGTGGACATTTGCAAGTTTATGCAGAATTTATAGATTTTTTTTTTCCTACAACAGAAGAGAGATTTTTATGACTCCCATTGATCCTTGTGATTTCCATTTTAAAAGTGCCAGAGAATCTCTAGCTTCCAAATACTTGATTCTACCTTTTCTGAAATGTTGTAGGACTTCATGCTCCTTCATTCATCCTGCTTTCTGCTGTTACTTGTTCTGTGCGCAACTGTGAGAATTCAGATGGTTTTTTTTTTCTGCTGTTAATACCTTCTGGCTGTCTGAGTAAATTATATGGCTAACCTCTAACTGCCAAGAAATCACTGTATGGGGAGGATCTTGAAAGGTAAACGATCATGCTTGTCTTCAATGCAAGTTATCCTCAAATGACAGGAAACCTAATGTCAATGCTTTTCAGACCAGATGTTGGTAAATTGACTGGGTTGTCGTGAGAAAAGACAGTTCCCACTGGCTAAACCTTATGTGGCAACATGTGCCCATAGGTGCTTTTCTGAAGGCTCTAGAGTTTCCTCAGAATTCCTGCAATCAGACTTGAGTAGATTACAGATAGTTTGCGCTGGAGAACTCCTTCTGTTGTTCTCTAGCAAGCTGGGGGGAATTCTTTCGCTTTTTTGACATACCTTCTAATTCAGGAGATGGCCCCTGAAACCTTAGGAGTACAAGCACCTTTGTAATTCCAGTTTGCAATGTCAAATCTTTCCCCCGTAAGAGCAGGAGTAGGCAAGCATCCTTTGTTTTGAGTCTGCTCAGCGAAATATATTTTAATACCACAAGGTCAAGTTATTCCAGTGAGAGGCTGACTTAAAACAGTAAGTCAGCTTTCCCTAAAGTTCACTTCTTGCACTGTCCTTCAATTGTTATAATTTTCTTTTTCCTTCTACCCCACGTAAATGCCAGCGGAGAATGAGGAAGTCTGGCAATTATTGGTGTGCTCTTTCACTTAACAATTTTATAAAAACAACTACTTCAGCTTTTGTGCCTATCAACATAGGGCACCTCTTCAGAATCGTAATTCCCTATTCAAGCTTTTTGTCAGCTGCTTTTCTCTCCTTCCTTAACAGAAAATAAGTCTAAATCCCAAGTACTCAAACGTAGATTGTTTTTTCTAAGTCATCTTGATACCACTTTTGCCTTTCAGTGAAACAATAATCACTTAGTAGCATTCAGTCCGTAGTGTCTGCTGGCCCCCGTTATATCAAAGCCCCTTTCTGGTGGAGTGAAGAGGCTGGAAAAAGAAATTAACTTCCAGTGGATTCCAGGCTGATCATCGTATTGTCCCCATATCCGTTTCCAGTTTAATAAAACTTGAGGCATAGGGAAACTGAAGATTCGCTCTTAAGTAGGTAAACAGGGCCATCCGAATCTCTTGCTGTTCTTTGACATAGCTTTGGAAGCTGAGTAGTCCTTCTCTCCCGCCCCTGTGGCAAGTTGTGGCCTCCCTGATATACTTACCTACAAACTGGATAGCAGCTACATGTAAGGCCACTGAATTAATGAACTGGTTAGGGTACTGTCGAATTCCACAGCAAAGAATCTGAACTCTGTGGCGTACAGAGATGGAATTGGATAAAACATTAAAATAAATGACCATGAAAATAGGTTATTTTGATAATTCAGGGTTTTGCAAACCTCTGGACCGCTTTGCTATATTGCGGAAGATCCTATGCAATTTTTTGGCTTTGGTTTCTAGGAAGTGGGCAGTTAAACTTTTGATGCCCTGAAAGATAAGACATTCAGTGATTTGGAATCCAGTTAAGAATTGGGCCTTGCAAGTCTCTGGTGTATTTTTTCCTCTTCTCTTCTTTTTTTCTGCTCGATGGTAGAGGGCAGAGAAAGTAATGCTACATTTGAGTCACGAATGTAGCTTTGTCTTCCAGCACCTTGTAGCTACATATTAAAGCCCTGGCCTATACTATTTTGTCGAAAGTGTTACCTGAATCAAGCTATTGTTTATCTAATCATTAGTGAAAGTTTAATGTTAAAAATCTGTTAAACTTCAGAGCTAGTTCCTCACTGAGTTTAGTCATTCCCTTACTCCAAACAAAGACAGAATTTTTAAAGTCAAATATTAAACCTAATCATCCGGTACTGATAATAAAAACACTAAATCATTCTCTACACATACCAAAAATGTTCCAATTTCCAGCTCCCTGTTGCTCTCTGGAGTGTTATAGTAGAAAGCACTTGTTTGGAGCTGTAATGTGGTAGTGTACTTCTTCCCAAAGCTAAAGGCCTGTCTCGATGTAGGGGCACCTCAGAAAACTTTGTAGAGTTGCTCTTAACCTTTCCCGAACTCATTTATCCAGGGTTCTGGTTAATTGTTGATTTCTAAATTTGTTTGTGGGACAGTTATGTGACATCTGGACAGCTAATGATCTTTTATCCATTCCACCGCTTGAAATTAGTGAGCTCTGCGAGGAGCACTGTTAAATTGTCTGTGGAAGTGAAAACTAGTAAGAACTCATTCCTGTGACGTTTTGTTCAATTTACTGCTAAACATAATCAAGGTCCTTCAGCTCAGGCAATGTTCTTCTGGGGTTTGCAAAAAATAAGACTGCTTCTTTTGATAATTGTGTAACCTAATAAGATAAAATGCATCTAATAACTGGAAAATTCTGTTACGTACCAAAGTCTGTCAGCAAAGAAAAAGCATTATATATAGGCTAATGTCTACTTTAAACCCAAGAAAAGTGTCTCAAAAGATGATTTTGTATGAGGTATCAGCTGGCAAATACTGGAAAATTAGAATTGAACTGATAAATTTAAGTACAGGACATCGCATATCTGTGATAGCATTTGAACTCTTTAAGAGTGTGTTTTTTTTTCCCTTCTCCTGTTTCAACACTTAAAAATAAAATTTAGGCAGGATGCTTTTGCATGGCTTGCACAAGTATCCTGATGAATTCTTTCTTTAGAGGCATGTTATTACAAATTCCTGGGTGACCCCTGACACTGATACTTCCTGCCGTGTGGAGCTTAGCAGAAGAGCACCCTCTGCATCTTGAGTACTTTCGCCCTGGGACGCCGAGCATTGTGAGAGTAGTTGCAGAACGGCGTAGTGAAAGCACGTTCTGTGGCTCACCGCTTTTCTTGGAGTTACTCGGAGAAACATCAGATAATGTTCAGTTCCTTGAATTCAGGCGCTCGCTCTAGGAGTTCTTCTAATCAGTGTTTCTGATAACGTAACTCCTAAAGGATTGCGCATCCCTTAACTGGAGGAATGCTGATTATCTGCTTGACAGAAGCATCTCCTGCCCAGACAGGATGGGTTAGCACTTGCCTGAGTGTTCAGCTCTAAACCCATCGTTAGCTAGTATAAGGAAACATTCTTTTCTGAATGATGGATATGGCTTCAATTGAAGTCTTAATTCTTTAATTCATGATTTTATATGCTGGGATTATAAATGAAATACGTATTGACACAAAGATATGTTGTACTTGGTTCTTGTGGTCACATCTTGTGGTCACATAAATCTGTTTAATTATTGGCTGATTATGATTAGATACAGAAGTCTTGAACCCAGTGCTATCCCAAAATGATTTTAGGTGAAGGTTCTCTAAACCCTTTTTTGAGGTATGCTGAGATCCACGGACCGATACTGCTAAATTTCAGTAAAGAAGGGAAAACACAGCTTTATTACACAGCAGTGGTTTAGGAATTAATGTGCATAGACCTGGCATTACTTTTTCTTCTGTATAGCTAGGGCAGGAAAACCGTTGAACTACTTCAGAGAACAAACTTAACCTTCAGTTTTCAGTACTGTCCCAGGTTGGGTTGCCAGAGAGATTTTAGAGTTTTTCGTTAGGCGAGTAAGTTTAGCAATGCTGGCAGTTGATTTTTTTTGAATGTTTTCTAGTTTCTAATCTTAAATTAGCCACCGAAAAAGGAGAAGTTCTTTCACTGGAAAAGTTCTAATATTATAAAGTGGAAAGGGCCAATGAATAGTGGAAACAGGTATAGGGAATAATTGAACTCTGTCTTTTCTTCAGTGTCTGAATGCCTGATGATAATTGGTGTCAAATGCTGCTGGCTGTTTTTTGTATCTGACAGTT